AGAGAAGAATTGCTGGATTTAGGGTCATCTTCCCACACCTGTGAGGGGGTATTTCCGGGATCAATCGTGGACGATATATCCCACGGATCACCGACAGACTGCTCGAGGAAACTACTATCGGCGGCTCGGCTGGCGTTGGATGACAATGTAGCAGTTGACTGATCATGCGCCTCGCCGGCATGATACTCCGGGTAATGAACATATTCTTGTCCTTTGCCAGGTCGTGGTAACAGGATGTGCTCCGGTTTGGTCGGAAACGGAGTGGCTGAGTAAACATCGTGCGCTTCGTCTTCGTGGTCTTTGTCCCTGACGATCCGCAAGGAGGGCGGCGGCGGAGACGTCTCGTTCGTTTGTGATGCACTGCGCTCATGGAGAGCTCTCCGTCGAGGAGAGCTATTTGTTGAGGGTCCAGTTGAGCGCATGTTGTTTGGGTGGATTATTTCATATTATCAGCGAACACCGGCAGAATATTAATTAATTAGTCAAAAGTAGCGTTTGCAAAATGAGTGTGGAGAACAGAAGGTAATTAAGCCGACCCTGCGGTTGACCGAGGCAAGGTCGAGATCGAAAAGAATGCAAAATTTGGTAGTACACGATACTGCTGATCGGGGTTGACTGGGTTGCTTTGTCAGTCAGATGGGTGACGATTGGTGAAGCTGGACAGGTATGTAGGTATGCTGCTGTTGTGCTATTGTTGTTGTTATTGTCGCTGCTGTTTGTTGTGGTCTATAGCGCTGTGATGCAATAAGGAATGCTTTGATACAACCAAAACCCAATGCGAAGTATAAGTCCAATTCAATGGCAAGACGACCGAAAAGAGCGTATTTGTGACGACGAAAGAGATTCTCGCCCACAGTTGGAATAAGAGTCAAGCCAGACTGGTGGAGTGAAAGTAAGTTGAAGAATTGAAGGTGCAAAGAGCGTTTGAACTGAAGAGTCCGAGAAGCAGCACTCAAACGAGTGTCTCTAAAAGAGCGACAGAAAGCACAACGACTGGAAAACGACGAACGACAACCTGAAACACGGAAAACCCATCAGAATAAGTAAAGCATACAAGGCACGAGCGGCACTAAGTGGGCGATATCATTTAAATGGAATCTCGTTGCTCCGCTGGCGGTGAAAAGCCCGGCGTTAGCGGGCTGTTTACGGAGTAGCCGCAGGCCTTCAGCCATTTCGGACCTGTGGAGACGCTGGAGGGGGCTGTGGCAGCCAAGCGGGCAGATTACGGACACAAATCGACCTTTCGTTTGCTGCCTTTTTCCTGCCAGGGGTATGCAGCTGCACGCTTTAAAAGCACTGCTCTGAAACCATCCAATTGGTTAGTGGAAATGAAAAGAAAGCGAAGCAGGGATGATCTTTGTAGCAGCTCGCCTTTTTGGACCAAGATAGTTGTTATGTTTGTCCTCTGTGGGAAAGTACGCGGAAATTGGTACGGAGTACTCCGTACTCCATAGTACTAGTCGTAAGGTCGTCTAGGGGTGATCATAGACGCCTGGAACCTGAGACTGCACAAATCTCCCCATGGATAGAGGAGACCGAAGAGGTTCGCGGCTAGTTCATCTCAGGGTAATCAGCTTGAACCAAGAGAACGGTAACGGATCATCGGAATCTAATAATAATCCTCATCGTCATGATCTTCTGGTAAAATTATCAGGAACAGGCACGAATCATTGTTTCACTTGCTGGAAATTAGACGATCTGAGACTCATTTCGCTTGGTGATGATCACTATTCGGTGGTGAGTTGAACACGGACCATGAGTGCGACGATAGGCGTCGGATAAGGGGAGCCGTCGAGAACATTACTCTAGGAGACTGGTATTGCTGGATTTCGTAACCTTCGAGCATTTGCAGATTGCATATATGATCAGCTTCCACAGTCCTCCATGGAACTACTCTGTACGGAGTATTGGCTGCAAGTATATGCAAGGTACGGAGTACCACTTGCTCTAAGAAAGTATGAGTAGGGTATGCAGACGCAGGACGTCCACCTGTAAGTCTGTGACTTCCTGTACTCGAGAGACACTCGTCACGTCTCAGCCTCCACGAGGGCAATAATACGTTGTAGAATTGCCGCGGCAGATCTCACGGGGGCAGTTGACGGAGTCGGTCTGACTTTGCAGTTCTCGAACCTCGAGGACTCGAGATGATTAGACAGATAACCACGATATGAACCATGGGTGGATCTAGTTGACAGCTTCAGTACTCCGTAATAATCGTTGAACTAAAAACACTTCGATCTCCCCTCGACCCCGACGATTTGAGGATCTAGAAAATTCAGGAAGATTGATTGGCAGGGGAATCAGCAATTCGATCATTCTCGCTACGGCAAAGTCCAATAAGGGGGCTGTTTCAGAAGACAAATGACAGTCTCGAAGCGACTAATTATTTAGTCTCATGCAGTAAGGCTGCCAACTCACCGGTGGATCTTGTCTACCGATTTAGTTCCCTCGAGTTACCACCCTTTGACTCTGTCGAGTGGCTTAGTCAACTGCGGCCATCCAAATCCAGAACAGAAGCTGGACAAAAAGGACCGACTAGATGACGCGGGGTTCAGGAGCAGCATCCTTTCTCAATAATGTCGTAGAGGCATGTACAGAAAGTACAGAGTGTCGAGGTCTAGAAGCTGGATAGAGGGGAAGAAGATCCAGCATTCCCGATTCGGTTATATTGTGGGTGTCAGACAATAGTGGATGCCTCTGAAATCAGGCACAAAACTCCACGCCTTGCTTTTTCCTTTGCTGGACAGTCGCTCTCATGCTTCACATCCAACCTTGCTGTAAAGCTGGCCTGATGCATTAAATTTCAGCAACTTCATTCTCAAGATAATCATAATAATCATAAATCAGCATCGTCTTTCTATTTTTGCCGAAAGGTCGAGCCTGTGTAATCTCCGATTGCCAGAGCTGCTTGTTTACTTGCACGTGAATCTCTTCAACACTTTTGCAGATCAGGCATAAGTCCGATACACTGCTACCACTGTCTTAGGCATTATGGCTCCTGTTGGACTTCTGGCGCGCCTTCGAACGCTTTATACTAAAAATCATGGTAATCGCTCCTCTTCAGCATTTGCATACTGGTCTCTAACTATCCCACACCAGACGAGCCTGTTATTTCGATCCGCACAGCCGCTTTCTTCTCGGTATGTACCGCTGGTCCTAGCGCTTTCATTCCTCATGCATATTTCAAGTAAATGAGCAGTGTGTTTTATTCCAGCATGAGAGGTGATTGCCAGAGAACACAATAAAGATGCAGGCTCATCGTGAATTTCATGGTCTATACAAGCGTGCAACTAACTCCCACTACAGGTGCTCCTAACTTTACTCTACGTGGCACCATTCTACATATCGCCAACTACGCGCCCCTCTCAGACGCTCAGTCGAGATGCTCCCTCTGTGATTCGAGCAAGGATCAGGGCGGTGTCCTGGTCTTGTTCCCTGGGCACTCTTGCGGTTCTATGGCTGATCGTAGCTAAGAACCATGCTTCTATCCCAGAGGCTGCGAGGCTACTGGGTTGGTGGCCTATCAACCTCTGGGACATCTGTCGGGCCTTGCTTCTGACAGCTATCCTGTTTACGGGACCTCTTTTTGAGCGTGGCATTGCCGAAGGGGAATGGAAAGACTGGCTCAAAGGAGGCAGGATCTCCGAGACTCTTCATGGTTGGATTGGATGGCGGAATTACGTCGCTGTGAGGAGAACTCGAGTATAGGAACTTATCGCAACTGTGGCTTACAAAAACATGCAGGGTCCCATTACGGAGGAGATTATGTTTCGGTCCGCCATTGTACCTCTCCATCTACTAGCGAAGGACACTCCGGGCCACATTGTTTTTGTGGCGCCTCTTTATTTTGGAATCGCACATGTGCACCATTTCTATGAGTTCCGCTTGACGCATCCAGATACTTCGATCCTTGCAGCATTGTTCCGATCGGTGTTCCAGTTTGGCTACACTACCATCTTCGGTTGGTATGCAACCTTCCTGTATCTTCGAACGGGATCTTTGCTGGCAGTCATTCTCGCGCACAGCTTCTGCAACTGGTGCGGACTTCCTCGACTGTGGGGAAGGGTCGAGGCAGGTGTCCCCATCGGGCCGCCCTTGGGTAAAGGCAAAGAAGACTCCGATGGGAAGAACGCATACGCCGCTTATGGTAAACTGGGCTTGGGCTGGACAGTTGGGTACTATGTACTCCTTGTATCAGGGACGATTGCCTTCTATTACGCCCTATGGCCTCTAACTGACTCGCCAAATGCGCTTGCTACGTTTACAGGAGGGTCCAAGTGATTGCATGGTTTCTTTGACGCTTCGGCCTTGAGAACACACATCAGGATACTGCCTATTAGCTTTTTATTTCTTCTGTTTTGATATTTCCTCCTATATATGATGTTAATGCTCTGTCTCACTGCGCCATATTATGATAACACGAGCAAGTGGATATCTGCTGAGTGATGTTGACATGACCTTTGTATGAAGCGAAGCGTGTTACGGCAGCATGACAGTTTGATAATGATAATGATGAGTACCTAATATGCTTCTATTTATCAGTGGGTAGGAGAATCGAAAGGAATATGCAATGGCCCTTTGTCTAGTAGCCGGACTGAGCAGACAGGATAAATGTCCGTTATCTCCGAGTCCGCCTCGGACACACTTGTGTAAGTTGTGCTGGCTTGTCTCATAACCAGGTCATAATCCGTTGATTTATCTGCAAAAGTTCTCAAAGTGCATCTACAATTAACCCTTCGGCATAACCTAAACAAGCATATTTCATGAGGCCACGATTGACGAATTGCCGCTCACTTATAAGTGGGTGCGGCAAGACCACCACACCAGCTCGGTTCTTCTCTTCCAGCATTTCCCGCTCGAATCCCCTACGCGCTCCTCTCAATATACCACCACCTTTTCCTGTGACTCAGAAATGTCCAGAACCAGCCTGCTCATGTCCTGCTACACCAGCTCTGCCCGAAGGGCTCCCGATCGATTTCGATCAGCCATTGAACGGAACAATGGCAGCATACACCCAGCAGGTCGTCATCTGCACTGGACAGAGAGATTGGGAGAGTCGCATTGAGGACGATGGCAAGGGTCAAAGCTGGGGAGAGCTAGTGAGAGGGTTGAAGAAGCTGATGGGCCGTGGTGGGCGCTATGCAGATGTAAGTTTCGCTTGCTGCTGTTCTACAAGCGCTGACAGAATGTGATTCGGTAGCCGTTCAATAACGTCTTGGTTTCGAACTCGTCCTTTCCTTCGTCCTCCAATTCTACCGCCTCGGCCTTTCTCTTTCCCCGATTTAGATACATTCCCTCAATCTCCGTGAATGTCTCCGAGGAGCAAAATGCGCAGACAGATCTCGCAACGTTCGTCCGAGCCTTTCTTCTCCCGCAACAGCTGAATCCTATGCAAGATTCCCTCCCCGAATCCAAGAGGGCGAAATTAACCCGCAAGCCTGAACTTGAGTCCAGTTTCCCAGGTGCCATCGACATTCAGTACTCTCCTGTTGTATTGATATGCGGTCATGGTGGTCGTGACATGCGCTGCGGAGTCATGGCACCTGTCCTTGAGAAGGAGTTCAGCCGCGTCTTACGTGCGCGGGGTTTCTCGTCCGCCGGAGGGGACGGTAATCCCACTGACAGTCCCGAGCATGCCCATATTGGGCTGATCAGTCATGTCGGTGGTCACAAATATGCTGGAAATGTGATTGTGTACATTCCTCCCGGGATGAAGGCAGGTGGCTCCCCTCATCCGCTAGCGGGTAAGGGTATTTGGTATGGACGGGTTGAACCCAAGCATGTTCAAGGCATTATAGATGAGACGATCATGAGTGGAAGAGTGGTACTTGATCATTTCCGGGGTGGGATTGATCGCAATGGTGATATCCTACGAGTATAGAGTTGTCCAGGATATAGATTCTTCCGTCAGACCACAGAACATGTATATATAGACGCTAGATAGATCATGAATTACCCATTCGGTACACTTAACCAACGAAATTCTCTGGGTCGAGCATCTTTCTCTCATGCAACTAATCAACAAATACAAGCAGATTGCCTCATTTACAAGGTATTTCGTCCCAAACCAGCTAGCTCCGCACTAACCCAGTTTGGGGTGCTGAGCTGCCGGAGCCGAAAATCATCGTCGGAGTACGGAGTATCTAGACTGTGATGAGACTCTTGCGCATGCTTTGGGACCAGCTCCATTGCCAGATACGTTCTGCCTCAATGGCCGAGTAACCAATTGTCCTGCACCATACGATGGTCAAACATCGACCATGCAATCCATATCCCGACCACGATTGAGCCCGACCGTCTTCATACAAGGCCGATGGAGATGCGCCGCCCACCGCCCGGTCTTAAGCAATTTCATCCGACTCGCGACGACCTCAGCGACTCCGCTACCTAGGAAACTCGATCTGCCGGCGATTGATAGAAAATGGCAGGAGAAGTGGCAAGCGGAGGGAACGCGGTCCTCGTCCAACGGCAGCGCGAACAAAGAAAATCAAGGCGACAGACCGAAATCGTACATCCTCTCCATGTTTCCCTACCCCTCGGGGACATTACATATGGGCCATTTACGGGTCTACACGATCTCGGATGTATTGGCGAGGTTTTATCGCATGCGAGGGCATGAGGTCCTCCATCCGATGGGCTGGGATGCGTTCGGATTACCGGCGGAGAATGCGGCGATCGAACGCGGGATTGACCCGGCTGAATGGACGAAGCAGAATATCGCGAAGATGAAGGAACAGTTACGCAGCATATCGACGTCTTTTGACTGGGATCGGGTATGTGCCGGATACGTCTCAATTGGTCTAGTTGGCTCTCGTTGACCTGCTCCGGCGCGGGCTCTAGGAACTGGCGACGTGCTCGCCCGATTTCTACGAACATACTCAGCGGATATTCCTGATGTTGTACCAGAAAGGGCTTGCCTATCAGGCAGAGGCGCTCGTCAATTACGATCCGGTTGATAAGACGGTGCTTGCGAATGAGCAGGTGTGTCGGTTACTCTGCAATACTCTACAATGGATACTCTTCAGGCTAACTTCTCCAGGTTGATGCCAATGGTTTCTCATGGCGCTCAGGGGCAAAGGTTGAGAAGTTGAAGCTAAGACAATGGTTCTTCCGAATCACAGAATTCAAGGAAATGTTACTGAAGGATCTGGACTCCTTAACCGGGGCTTGGCCTGAGCGGGTATTGACTATGCAGCGCAACTGGCTGGGCAAGTCATACGGTGCGAAAATCAAATTCCCAGTCGCTGTTGATGAGAGCGGTGATGCAAGTCTACATGTCAATGTTTTCACCACGCGCCCAGATACCTTGTACGGAGCTGAATACATCGCACTCTCTTTGGACCATCCCATTGTCCTGGAGGCTGCGGAAAAGGATGCGGCCTTGCGAAAATTTCTCGATGAAGCAGCTTCACTTCCATCTGATTCCAAGGTTGGTTACAAGCTTTCGGGTGTGACTGCTTCAAACCCGTTGCACATCATTGACAAGGAAAGTCCTCACATTGCGAGGAAATTGCCTATCTTTGTGGCCCCTTATGTCCTCGGTGACTACGGTGAGGGAGCCGTTATGGGAGTTCCAGGTCATGACTCTAGAGACTTGGCGTTCTTCAAAGAGAACACAAATTCCGAATCGGTTCCAGTCGTTATCGAACCGGAACACTTGCCTAACCCAAACAACGACAGCACAGGGACTGTCTCACCTCCAAACGACATGAAAGCATTTACCCAAGAAGGTATTCTTACCTCGAGATGCTGGAAATACCAGGGCCTCCACTCCCGTGAAGCCAAGAAGCAGATCGTTACCGACCTGAAAGGAGTCGGCCATGGTGATTTCGTTGAGCAGTGGAGACTCAGGGACTGGCTTATAAGTAGGCAGCGCTACTGGGGAGCCCCCATCCCCATCATTCACTGCGACAGCTGTGGCCCTGTGCCTGTGCCGGAGGACCAGCTTCCCGTCCGACTACCCAAGATTGAGGGTGACTGGCTCAAAGGGAAAAAGGGGAATCCGCTCGAGTCGTCGCAAGAGTGGGTCAACACAAAATGCCCAAGTTGCAACGGGCCTGCAAAGCGCGACACAGACACTATGGACACCTTCGTTGACTCGTCCTGGTACTATCTCCGCTTTCTGGACGCCCACAACAAGGAGCAGCCGTTTTCTCCTTCAGCAGCGCGACCGGTCGATATCTACATTGGTGGCGTCGAGCACGCCATCCTACACTTGCTGTATGCTCGGTTTATCTACAAATTCCTATCCCAGACGAAGTTGTTTCCGGAGATTGCTCGGATGGGCAACGTCTCGGGACCTTCAGAACCGTTCAAGACAGTCCTGACCCAGGGTATGGTCCACGGAAAGACATATACTGAGCCGTCTACTGGGCGATTCCTACTCCCGTCGGAAGTTGATCTTTCCAATCCGAACAAGCCGCTCATCAAGGGCACCCAAGTCGCCCCGAACATCTCTTTTGAAAAAATGTCGAAGAGCAAACACAACGGCGTAGATCCCACGTCTTGTGCGCTACAGTATGGCGCCGATGCCACCCGTGCACATGTTCTTTTCTCCGCACCTGTCAGCGAGGTACTGGAGTGGGATGACACGAAGATTGTGGGCATTGAGCGTTGGTTTGGTCGGCTCTGGAAACTGGTGCTGGATGCCAAGCAAAGCCTGGCTTCAGCATCGTTTATAATTTCACAGACTGATCTGCAGAACTCTGCCGGCCCTATCTCCACACTTCCTACCCTATTGCAAGGTCTTTGTGATAGCGACGCTGATGGCCTTCTCCACACCCATCGGACCATCGTATCTGTGACCAACTGCATTGAAAACAACCCGTACGGTCTGAACACGGTCATCTCCGACCTGACCAAGTTGACCAACACGTTGACATCGTCAACCCCAACATCTCCCCAGGTTCTGTACCTTTGTGTCTCTTCACTTGTCCGGCTTCTCGCTCCTGTGGCCCCCGCCTTGGCCTCTGAATGCTGGGAAGTTCTGAACGATTCAGTCATTGACAAAAATGCGAGCGTTGGAACCCATGTACCAGATATCTTCGACTGCGAGTGGCCCTCTCCCCTTTTGACCTCCGAGCAAGCTGATGTTCTGTCCGCGCGCGGAGGCCAGATCGTAGCTGTTCAGATCAATGGAAAGCTACGCTTCACGGTGACTATTCCTCGACGATTGTCACCCACAACATCTGCGGAATCCAGTGACAACTCTGGTGCAGTCACTGATGAACAAGACTGGATTATCAGTCGAATTTTAGAAACGGACGAGGGCCGCGTCTGGTTGCGAGAGAAGAACGACTGGGAAAAGCGGAGACGAGTAGTGGTTGTCAAAGGAGGCAAATTGGTCAACATTGTCTTCTAAACTGGCAAACTGCTGAGATCGCTTCGGAGATTGCCCGGGGGTACCTATGTAGTATAGACGTTGTCATTGTACATTAGAAGTATAGTAGATTCATCTCTCGAATACCGCATCATGAAACCAAATATCTCTTGCAAGAAATTCTAAAGATTCCTGGATTATGCTGCGTCAGCTTTTCTGGTTCAGCGACAATAACCGGGATTGACAACTCGAAACAATTGCCCATCCGCCCTTTCCCGCACTTGCGTATGTCTCTTGCAGATTGCGCGGTCGAGTGAGGAGCAGTGGGGAGCTGGCGGAGGCGTTCCCCTCATCATCGCGGAGTAAGGAGCTGACTGGCATGGTCTAATTCGGTGTCATTCGGTGTCATACCCTCAATCTCAACAATGATGCGCATTACTTGGTTGATGGGATCTGTAGATTCGGATGAAACTTGGGAATATCTCGGATGAGAGTATTAAGATACTTCCGTCATTTGTCGCGTTGACGTTCGGTTGGAGAAGCTGGAGCTCCGGATCAGTGGGCCGAGCTTGACAGAGAGCCAAGATTCCAGAAGAACTGCATTGCATCGGGTCTTTGAGACACCAACTCCGAGGTGCTTTGCGGAATGATTTGGATGCTCTTGATAGATATTGTTCATCCGTTCGAGCGGCAATTTTTCGAGCCCAGACTCGGGTGGTTTGACTTAATGTGGACTCAGTACCCAGAAGATACTCATGTACCTCTCCATGAATTTTGAAGAGGCCGTGCGGGGGTATGAGGGTGTTCTCCTCATGAGGGGAGAACCTCTGAGGGGTACGTAGCTATCTCGATAGGGAATAGTGTCATACCGATCCCCTCAGCTTAAGTGGGAGGTGGGTATTGAGGGCATCCGTTTGTTAGGATGAGGATGAGCAGAGGGGTACCTGTAGAGATGTACTCTGAGTACTAACATCGTTAAGGCCGAAAATAAGCCGTGATTGACGTGTACTTTTTTAAGACTATGTTGTGGACTGTGCATGATCACCCTCCTAAGGCTCTTTGCTGCATGAGGCTGGACCCAGTATCTCTCTTCTGCCGACCCCTCACTAAGAGGTCAAGGCACGCTTTGTTCTGCGCTGCTATGCAAGGATATGCAGGTAAGAATCGCCTGGTTCATGTCTGCAATCTATTGAAAGTGTTCGAAGTTGTCTCATTGTAGGTTGCCGAACCCCGCATTGCCATAGTCTTTCGAGTCTCACATAGACGTAGCATTGACGTTGGTCGCACAAGTCAATTAGGGACATTAGTCGGTTGACAGTATTACTATTACATGCATATAGCAGCGAAGCAATCATTGCTAGGTACTAGGATAATACTCCTCTTACTGTCGAGTAGCGCCAACTGTCAAAACTCTCTCCAACTCCAACCACTCGGGCTGTCTTTCTTATTGTCCCGCATGCGGAGAGACCCAATAATTCTGACCATCATCCCACCTACTTTCCATGGGATCCGTCGATCCGCTCGTATCCTTGAATACTGGGCTAGTAGTATTGTTTTTGTTAGCTGAGTTAATCTTCCATGTTACCTTTGGAGTGAACCAGGCTGCTCTGGCACGGCCCACTGGTCGGTGGAGTTCCGTTCATCCCCAATGGATAGTGCCGCATCCTCGATACCTTGATGGTTACTATGTGGTAATATGGTACTACTAAGGTATGCATAATAGTAGCACTGCTGTTTTGAGAATTGGAGAGGGGCAATTTTCAACAGTCTGTTCGCCATAAAAATTGGTCTAGTAAAGGTCCCAGAGAGATCTATATATTTGGGGCCATGTCCCTTTAGTTCTGAATCCTTTTATTTCTATATCAGTCTCATCATCATCCTCATTCCTTTGCTTGACCGAATCCGGTAAGTTTCTTGATATGCCACGCTCTCTCCTCATTCTTCCCTCTTAGGTCTTCGTCTACCTGAAATAGCCATAATTCTTCGGCTTCTCCCTGGATCATGATTCCCCACCTTCCATGTTATCCGGCTTTCCCCCGCCCTGCATCATGCTTCCATCACGGCCATGGAATTCATGCTCCGAAATAGCCATTGAACTGTCTGGCTCCAGGCCTAAAGTCAAAATGATGATTTAAATAGAGTGCTGACTCCCTCCTCGATCCTAGGTTCACCACTCGATCATCCTTCCTCTTCCTATCTAAGTCAATCAACTTCAATTCAAAATGGTATTTATCCGTTCTTTGTCCCGTCAGCTACGGCGGCCTGCCACTTCTTTTCTTTCTACCAAAGGAACCTTTTCTCCCCCAAGCAGTAGTCCATTCCGGGCTGTTTCGCTGGGAGGTTCCATCTCTGGTGCACGAACGCTGACAGCCTCCGCCAATCTACAGGGCAAGGTTCTTATGGTCCTCTATGACGTAAGTGCCCGCGACAACTTCTTTTTGCTATGAAATGACAAGGCCCGGAATCTGATCGACGATGAAAACAGGGCGGTGAGCACGCCAAACAGCAGCCTGGCCTTCTTGGTACCACCGAGAATGAGCTTGGTTTGAGAAAGTGGCTCGAGGAGCAGGGCCACACTCTGGTCACCACCTCCGACAAGGAGGGCGAGAACTCCACATTTGACAAGGAGCTGGTCGATGCCGAAGTCATCATCACCACCCCGTTCGTGTCCCGTCTGGAGTTACTCTCGCTGGCACGGGATTACTGACTGCCTGCTATAGTTTCCACCCCGGTTATCTCACCGCAGAGCGCTTGGCCAAGGCCAAGAACCTGAAGCTCGCTGTCACTGCCGGTGTCGGTTCCGACCATGTCGACCTCAATGCCGCCAACAAGACCAACGGCGGTATCACTGTCGCCGAAGTCACTGGCTGCAATGTTGTCTCCGTCGCCGAGCACGTTGTCATGACCATTCTGACACTGGTTCGCAACTTCGTCCCTGCCCACGAGCAGATCCGCAACGGTGAATGGGATGTTGCTGCCGTTGCCAAGAACGAGTTCGACCTCGAGAACAAGGTCGTTGGAACCGTCGCTGTTGGACGTATCGGTGAACGTGTGCTGCGCCGTCTCAAGCCCTTCGACTGCAAGGAGCTTCTCTACTACGACTACCAGCCCCTTAGGCCCGAGGTTGAGAAGGAGATTGGCTGCCGCCGTGTTGAGAACCTCGAGGAGATGCTCGCCCAGTGCGATGTTGTCACCATCAACTGCCCTCTGCACGAGAGCACTCGCGGTCTCTTCAACAAGGAACTCATCTCCAAGATGAAGAAGGGTAAGTTCTCTATCACGTTCGACTTCGAACAGCATGTCGGCTAACTGTATCCCAGGCTCTTGGCTCGTCAACACTGCCCGTGGTGCTATTGTTGTCAAGGAGGACGTTGCCGAGGCCGTCAAGTCCGGCCACCTCCGCGGCTACGGTGGTGATGTCTGGTACCCTCAGCCCGCCCCCAAGGACCACCCTCTTCGGTACGTCCAGGGCCCCTGGGGTGGTGGTAACGCCATGGTTCCTCACATGTCCGGTACCTCGATCGACGCCCAGATCCGTTACGCTCAGGGCACCAAGGCCATCCTCGACAGCTACTTCTCCGGTCGCCACGACTACAGACCTGAGGATCTCATCGTCAAGGATGGTGACTACGTCACCAAGGCCTACGGTCAGAGACAGAAGTAAATGTCCCAATCACTTTATGAAGCGAATGACTGAATGTATTTATTCTTGCACATTTCTTCGGTTCAGCTCACCTTTAGGAGTGACTTATTCATCTTATGATACCTAAATGGCATTTCTCTTTTTTCAATCCGTTAGTTACTAGGCGAGTTCCAACTCGGCTTTTACTCTTAAATACTGTATGGCTCGAAAGGTTAATAGCTGATTGTAGTGTTATGATCGAGCTACCAAGCCGTGTATGCGGTTAATTGCTTGACCCGCAAGACAGATGCTCAGCGACATTTGGGGCAGTGCAGTGTCCTCACTGCTTGATTGCTTGTCAGGTTGGCATACATAGTTTGGCTTGGGACTAGCTGGTGGGGACCGTCGATCAGCTAAAGCTTAACCCTTTTAGAGTTGTCTAATCTGTGGGCGCAATCTTGCTCCCTTGGAACCATGATGATGCCGTCAATAGGTAGTTCAATACAAGATGATTTGTTACCCTCCAGGTAGTCAATACCTGATTCAATTGTGTTTCAAGAACTGGACTCTCCTGATTCGTATCGATCTAAAAGCTCAGGCTCAAGGCGACAGTGGACTGCATGGCACTCAAGTTATCAATTTCGCTTGAACACTACATGTGAATATGGAGAGGTATATGTGAGTATCAAGCTCAATGGAGAATACTTTCTGTTCTAATGCATAGAGCTCCGATGCTCCGTATGACTCGTCCGTTTCGTGCAGAAAACATGCGGCGTCGACCATTGCTTGGGACAATCGAAATGAAGGTCCGCACGTTAGTCAATGGGATACACTACGCCCTTGAATGCCACAAAGTTTGGGACGAGGTTATAGTTCTACGCGTAAAAGTTATGCCTACTGTTGTGGAGGCGGCATTCTCCACATATCTGGCATCATTTGATATGTACCCTAGCGTCCCTAGCAGGCTTTCTTGAACCGATATCGCCACGGTATTCGGGGCATGTATACGCAGGATGGACATGTCTCACTTTCGGGTTGTCTACAGTTCATGAAACATTCCATCGAGTTCTGATATATGTTAACTTCGGAAAGTTGGAAAGTTCTCGATGACATCCATCAGATACATGCGAAAATATCTGACGAATAGACTGCAGTCTTCATGCCCGCTTGTCTAATATGCATATACCCAAACGCCAGCTGTAACTGCAAGACAAACAAATAGACGATCACAAATTATCGACGGACCCTTGAATGACCTTGATCATCCCCTTCATCATCGCTATCGTCCATGAACCCCTGCTCGAGGTCCCGGCTGAGTCGGCTACTTGCGTCAGCCGCATCGCGTCGTCTTTCAAGCGCTTCCCTCCGAGAGGGATCCATGTCCATCCCAACCATGATTTCCCCCTCCTCGTCAAAAATGCTAATGTTATCGTGTTGTCCGTCGGTCTGCCGCCGCCACGTCGATGGCAAGAAGAAGCGCATGACGGCATCGGCTATACGATCTCGCAAGGACAAAGTATGCGCGGAAATGGCTTGCAGCGGAAGATATTGTGAGTAGCGTTGATGGTAGCGCCGGAAGAATGGGACAATTAGGAATGAGAGGAGGAGATAGAGCGCCAGAGATATTACGGCCGGGATAAGAAGGGTCTGAGCAGGAACGGATCATTAGAATCAACAACCTCAGAATATGACACCGCAGAAAACTCACCTTGGCCAGACTTGACACAGAGCCCATCTTGACAGTGGCTCAAAGCGGTGGCTTGAGTTGCGTATACAGTTATAGGCAACAGCCTAGGTATAGGCTCAGGAGTAATGGCAGTGACGGTCTCGGATCAACATGAAGCCATCATACTCGCATCACACAAGAATAAGACAATGCGACTAAATCTTCCGTAGAGTCCCATTCAGGCTTCCAGTAGCCCACACCTGCTGACGATTATCTTACAGCCTGCTCTGCGTCGTACATGCTGCAGACTAATGCGGATGAGGCCACGTGACTTTATCTCCTGAACGGAGAGAATGGTCACGTGAGTAAGCGGCCCCTACCGCGTTCTAGAGCCGCCCCCCCTAAACGAGTAATGCCCGCGCTTTAACCCTGACAAGCAAACGACGTTTCTAGCATCATCCTAGTGCCCGCACAAGCAGGACAAGCGATCAGACCCTTTTTGGGAGACCGATAGCCCTCGCTTGTGGTGTTGCGCATTTTACGCATCCAGTCCGGAAGAGGAGGGAGGATTTAAAGTGTTACTATTCGGCGCCCTCCCCCCTCCTGTTCTAGCGCTGCTCCGCAGCGGGTATTCGACTGCTAGTCAGGAGTCCCAACTACGGCTTATTGGATTTGAGTTGGATGTCATTGACGCCCTTGCGCAGGTTTGACAGCAACGGGCTCGTCGGTTTTTGGGAACAACCTTGTCAGCGACAACGCTTCTGTTTTAGATCTTCTAGTTGTGGACAACGCTCATGCTGCGCCTTGCATCTCCCCAGCGACGCCCGTCAAGATGCCAACCACCACATCTGCATCCGACAAATCGAGACAAACCTCCGCTGGCAAAGGATTTTTCGGGAGGAAGCTGCATAAGGAGAAGCCGGTAGATGATCGGTATGAGGGTTATGGAGGGTCGGAGAATCTCGCCCCCCCAGGAAACGCTGCTGGATCCCGTTCGTCCCGGCACTCGAAACGATCATCCGTCCAATCTGTGGATTACTCGCACGACTTCGATCCAAGCGGAATCTCGATGACCGCCGGTGTCATAACATCCATTCCCTTTGAGAGCCTTCCTGCCGATACTAGGTCTCCGATACCGGTAGATTACCTGTCCAGGCCGGAGACATCACCGCGAAAGGAGCCGTCGCCAAATCATCTTGCCAAGGGAGGCGGTGATTTTCATCAATACCCAGCATGGAACCCGACGGGACTACGAGAAAACAACGCCTTTTCCCATCCTACTGGGCCCCGTCCCCCGCCGCACGCATCCAATGTGTCTATGGTCGGGAGTACTGCAGGAGACAAGAGCGCGAGGTATCAGCAGTGGGCAAGACCGGGCAGTTCGGCCACCAATGCTGGGTTCAGTCATAATTCGTCGTCCACCGTGGATTCGTCATCAACTTCGCGGATGTCCCTTGATCAGACCAGCATCCATTCGTCTCTCTCCTCCAACACAAGGGGCTCGAGTTATATCTCTTCGGACGGCTCAGCACGGACGCTCACAACATCGCATTCGGGTGACCGTGGCACTCTCTTCCCGAGCAGCGGCAACTCCAATCGATTTTCCACTGCACAAGCGGCATGGCAAGCTGCTCAGCTTGCTACGCATCCTGCTGCACCGGCCCTCAATCCTGAGCAATATCTCACCCGACCCAGGGATGATCGCATAGTGGACCAACTGTTCCTTGACTTGATGCAAAAGCGAGGCTGGCAAAACCTTCCAGAGCAGGCCAAGCGGCAGATGCTGGCGTATCCCGCATCCAAGAAATGGACACTAGTACATCAGGACCGCTTGACGGAACTCCAGGGTGAACAGAAGCGGAGGCAGAACGCAAGGCAAACTCATGGCCATGACGGTCCAACCGGCATTCTCGAGCGGGCCGATGAAGAAGGGAGCCCAGAGTGGTATGTGAAGAAGGTCATGGACGACAGTATCACGTCGAAGCAGTTGGCCAGCTTGAGTGTCAGTCTGCGAACGCAACCAATCAGGTGAGTTTCTTGTAACAGGCTTACAGCATCCTATCTCCGGCTAATAATATGACAGTTGGGTCAGAGCCTTTGTCGAAGCGCAAGGTCAGATCGCTTTGACCAATGTGCTCTCTAAGATCAACCGCAGGAAAGCTTCGGGCCCTGTACCCGCACCCCCGACAGGCGACCGGGACTTGGATAGAGAGTACGATATTGTCAAGTGTCTCAAGGCTCTCATGAATAACAAATATGGTGCGGACGACGCAATCAACCATCAACAGGTCATCATCGCCCTTATCAGCTCGCTACTATCTCCGCGCCTAAACACAAGGAAATTGGTCAGTGAGGTCCTGACCTTCCTATGTCACTGGGCGGAAGGCGAGGGCCACCAAAAGGTCTTGCAGGCTATGGATCATGTCAAGAATCAGCACGGTGAAACGGGTCGCTTTGACGCCTGGATGCGAATCGTGGAGGTAACGATCGACGGCCGGGGCAAAATGGGCAGCTTAGTTGGTGCTAGTGAGGAGTATCGCAGCGGCGGCATTGGCATGGAGAATCTGCTCATGGAGTACGCGGTCTCGACCATGATGCTCATCAACATGTTGGTGGATGCGCCGGAAAATGACCTACAATTGCGATGCCACATCCGCGCCCAGTTCATCTCCTGTGGCATCAAGCGTCTCTTGACGAAGATGGAAGGCTTCCAATACGAGGTCATCGATAAGCAAATCGAGCGGTTCAGAGAAAATGAGGCCATTGACTACGAGGATCTCCTTCAGCGGGAGAGCAGCAGTATGAAGGATAGCATCGAGGGTGAGGTGAAGGACATGAGCGATCCCCTGCAAATCACGGATGCCATTCTGACGAGACTCAATGGTACTCGTGCCCATGATTACTTCCTTTCCGCTATGCAGCACATGCTTCTTATCCGGGAGAACTCTGGGGAGGACGGTCTTCGAATGTTTCAGCTTGTCGATGCCATGCTCAGCTACGTTGCCATGGACCGGAGACTACCTGATCTGGATCTACGGCAAGGATTGACTTTTACAGTACAAAGTCTCCTGGACAGGCTTCATACTGATGCAGAGGCAAGGCAAGCATATGACGAGTCCCTTGAGGCGCGGCAGATTGCGGAGGCCGCAATTGCGGAACGGGACGAGATGAAGGCGCAGGTGGAGATGGGAGCGGACGGTCTGGTGAAGAAGCTGCAGAAGCAGATCGATGAACAAACGAGCATCATTGAGCTTCAGACTAGACAAAACGAGGCCCTCAAGGCAGAGCTTGCTGACGTTCAGCGGCTGCGTGCTCAAGAGCTGCAGCGGAATGAACTGGAAACCAGAGAGCTCTATCTAATGCTCCGGGACGCTCAGGATATCGCTGCATCGAATGCGAAGAAGAATAATCTTGCCGAGACCGATCCATCGCACATGAGGGGTATCCTGGACCGGGAAAGACTGTTGGAGCGGTTGGAGAAACAGCTTGAGCGGACAAAGACGCAATTCAAGCTGGAGGGCAAAGTTTGGGGCCAACATGGACCTTCGGACCGACTGCGCGAGCTACGGGAGCAGATGGACGGCGAACCTGACCCTGAGGACTTTCAGGAACAAGCTCGTCGAAACCTGGAAACTAGCGCTCTGGGTTCTGTTCATCGCAAGAGAAGCCATGTTCCGGATATGGATGTTGCCAACGGTCAAGAGAGGCCATCGGACCAGGATGGGTCACTTCTCGTCAACTTTGGACGACCCCGAATGGATCCGGAACAAGCGTCTGATTTGCTGGGGGAGATTGCTTCTAAAGTTCCAAAGATCGACGCTGAAGATGCCGAAGCCGACGACAGTCTTGCTCAACCATCTCAACCGGAGACTGAAGAAGACCAAGTCGTCCGAGATGAAGAAGTCAAGCCCGAGGACGACAGTGAAAAGCCCGAAGAGAAGCCTGTATCCGTGCCTGCACCTCCCCCTCCTCCCCCGCCGCCACCACCGCCACCTCCTCCAGGTGGCGCGGTAGGCATTCCGCCGCCGCCTCCACCACCACCTCCACCTCCGCCGCCCGGTGCCAAGGGTTTGGGAGTTCCGCCTCCGCCGCCTCCTCCGCCCCCTCCTGGCTTTGCTGGAGGAATGCCTCCACCCCCTCCACCTCCCCCAGGTGGGTTCGGAGCACCCCCACCACCTCCGCCGCCTGGTGTTGGCGGAGGCTGGCGAGCCAACTACATGGCTTCGCAATCAGCACCTTCTCATCCAACTGCCGTCTTGTCATCTATTAGACCTAAGAAGAAACTTAAGGCTCTTCATTGGGACAAGGTCGATACTCCACAGGTAACAGTGTGGGCTATTCGCGATCCCACTCCTCAAGCGAAGGAAGAGAAGTACAGCGAGTTGGCGAAGAAGGGTGTCTTGGACGAAGTCGAAAGGTTATTCATGGCGAAGGAGACCAAGATCTTTGGGGCCGGCTCCGGCACCAAGCAGCGCAAGGATAAGAAACAGATCATCTCAAACGACTTATCGAAGACCTTCCAGATCGCATTGGCCAAGTTTTCGCAGTATCCTGTCGATGATGTCGTCCGTATGATTATCCATTGCGATCCAGAGATTCTGGACAATATGGTGGTCATGGACTTTTTGCAGAGAGAGGAGATGTGCACAATACCCGAGAATGTCTCCAAGCTAATGGCACCGTACAGCAAGGACTGGACGGGGCCTGATGCTGCTAGTTCCGAGCGGGAGCAAGATCCAACCGAGCTTACACGGGAGGACCAGATCTACCTCTACACTGCTTTTGAGCTAAATCATTACTGGAAAGCTAGAATGCGGGCCCTTGCACTGACACGCTCCTTTGAGCCGGACTACGAGCATCTCTCCACAAAAATCCGCGAGGTCGTGAGGGTCAGTGAGACCTTGAGAGACTCAGTCTCCTTGATGAATGTCCTTGGACTGATTCTGGATATCGGTAACTTCATGAACGACGCCAACAAGCAGGCTCAAGGTTTCAAGTTGAGCTCGCTCGCTCGACTTGGCATGGTCAAGGATGATAAGAATGAGACAACATTCGCAGACCTCGTTGAG